GCTGAGCCATGCCGCATCTGTGCCATGGGGCAGCTGCTGTGCAGGTGCCAAGCAGAGGGGTGCCATCCCCACTGCCCCCCACTTCCCCATTCTGCATGGGAGGGGCTCTACCATGAGCACCCAGAGGCCCCAGTGGTGACTCCTAAAGCCAGTGAGTGCGGGGCTATTTTTTTAAGTGCTGGGACTAGGCTGGGGGTGGGTGGGTAATGGGGCTGGACAGCGCTTCTCCCATGGCTCCCCCTGCCTGGGAAAAGGCAGGCACAGCTGGAGAAGCCACAGGAGTACCTGCAGCTGCCCAGCTGTGCCTGCCTCTTCCCGGCCGATCCAAATCACTGAATCTCTCCAAATCAGCGCCATATTTTCAGAAGCTGATTCAGCTGAATCGATTTAGGGCGGTGATCTGAATTGAATCACTGTCCTCCAAATCAGCCGAATCTGAATCGAATGCTTCCCTATTCGCACATGCCTACTGTCTGTTAGCTGCTCCTGGTAACAAAGCTCTTATCTTACAACCCTGTAGACAGTTTTCAATCCATTCCAATTAAATTATATTAGTTTCTGCTTCAATTTTAAATGCAATAATACCTCCCTACTCCCCTGACATATCACTAAAGCTTCTAGTGTATTTTAACTGGAGAAAAATGTGTTGTTTTATGTGTGTTGATGCACCTCAGCACCCCCCTTTTCAAAATCCTAGATCCATCCATTTTGCCAAGGTTATGTTCTACTTTGCCTACAGCTAATGCCACCCTGTCAAAGTCTGGGATTTCTACATATCTAGATATTCTTTAATAAGGATGCATCTAAGCTAGTGGGTCTCAAACTTTTTGGAATCAAGGCACCCCCCATTGGACTTGAAGCACCCTCCCTGACTTTTGTGAATTGAAAGACACCTGATTTCAAAAACTAATATATATATTTTACAATACTCACTCCTTGCAGAGGGGTTGGACAGTAGGGGTGGAGTATTGGCCAGGCAGGGATAAGCCTGAGGCTGCACTTATATGCTTACCTTACTGACCTATCTCCTCATAACTCATGGAACCTTTCAAATGGTCTGGCAGCACATCAGGGCACCATGGCACCCTGGTTGAAAAATCACTGATCTAGACACAATGCAATACTTGTGAAGGGATTGTTCCTCAGACCTGGAAGCCACTGTAAGGAAGAGGAGGAAAACAGCTAAAACGAAATAACAAAGGAAACAGTAAGCTTGTCATACCTGTGGCAGTGCTGTCTGGGTGGTAGCGGATCAAAAAGAACTGTCGGCTGATGTCATAGCCCACAGTGTTCTGCATACTGGGGACCTCTGCAAGGAGATGCACGTGTGACATCAGTGTACTTACGATAGTTATGGACTTGACCAGCTGCCCCATGTCCATGAAAGTGTCAAGGGAAGATATGTTCAAATGGGGATCAAGGGTCCTTCAAATTATTTCAAATTGCAGAGAAGTGAGCGTGGGTGGAAGCAGACATCTTTCAAAAGCTGCGTGATCTTCTGTCCCTTCTATCAGGCCACAAGAGGGAAGAGGCTTCATACAGCCACTGTGTTAAAATTTGATGGGAAATCCTAGATCCACTGTGTTAAAGATGTAGGAAGCAGAATCTTTGCAGACTTCTGCTTGCAGGTGGGCAGTATGTCATATTTGCCCACACAGTGCACCTTTCACAGGTGAAATGAAACTTACAGCCCAAGAGGAGAATGAGGGAAAACAAAGCAGCCCATGGTTATTTCTACTTAGCCAAGGGGAAATACCAGCTGCTCCACATGATTTCAGGTAACTAATCTGGGGGTCTTATTAGGCTTCTGCCCCACAGAAAGGGGCAAAAGATCTGAGGTCAACCCAGCTTGATAAATGAACCAATCTATGGCTGGGGAACCATGGTACCACTTCATTTATTTGGCCAACAAAAGATCCTTGGGCTCGGAGGCATATGAGCATTTTTGTTCATTCTGAATATCACTGCTGCTACTGCAGCAATGGGCTGGATGGAAGCCCAAAGTGCCCCCATTTCTCTGTCAGGCTTGGTGACATGGGAGAACTTTTGATAGCTTTCATTTCCCACTCCTGAGATGGGGTCCAGGTGGCTTGAGAAAGAGCATGGAGACCAAATGGGACCTTCTGGGCAGCGTGTTATGGGTCTTCCTCTCTATACCTGATCCACACGGAATGAGAGTCTGTTATAATTTCTTGCTCCTTCTCCCCACCCCCAACTGCAGAGAGCCTGGTTATAGCTCCACTGACTTCTCCTTTTAACCATAGGGCGTGGAACGGGGTGGGCCACCCTGGCCATGGCCCGACCAACTTTTAGCACATTGATTTAGCTAGCTATGCAGTTACAAAAATAGCTGTAGAGTTTTAACTGGATGACAAATCACTCATTTGTGGGTTATATAAATGAATGTGCTAAAAGTTGGTTGGGCCATGGCCCAGGTGGCTGACCCCGTCCTGTGGCCTATGCTTTTAAGCTTAGTTCAGGGCTGCACACTGTAGAAGCTGGGGCTTCATTAGTGCAAGCCACAGGCCCCTAGACTCGATCCCTTCAGCACTGCACACATGGGTACTACAGTTCCCTCCCTCCCCCTGCACTGATGCACCATGCTGCTGGCTGCCCTGGTGTTGTGGGCTGTGCCACCCCACTTCCTGGGGTGGGAGGAAGATGTGAAAGTTTATGGCTGGGGAGGGGCCTACAGACCCTAAATGTAGCAGCAACTACAAAAATAATGGGGCAGGGGCTGGGTAGGAGCCCAGGGGCTGCACATTTACCCCTTGTGGGACACCAGTATTACAGTCATGGCTTAGGTCAGTCACCAGCATCTGCCAAGATTGAGGCTATTACACAGGCAAGAGCAATACAGGAACTGAAAGGGGCAGGCAGAAGCATTGCTCACATGCCTGATGTGCATTTCAGATAGGGGACGAAGAAACCCACAACAAATCCTGCAGAACAAAATAGTGACCACATAGCATCTGCACATTGGTAAGCAGGTATTTTGAAACACTCAGCCCAGAAGGCATGAGTTACTGGGAATCTGTACTTGAAAGCAGGAGCATCTGAGGAAGATCCAGCAGTTCAGCAATGACACTTACGTTGTGGCAGGTGGCAGGGCTGAGTGTTGCAGTTTTCCAGCCTGGCTGGTACCTGTGGCTGAATGGCCTGGCATGCCTCGGGGCTGTAGAGTCTGGACTCCCCATCAGCACAGATGACCTGGCGTGTTCGGAAGCCTGAGCCACAGCTTTTTGAACACTTGAAGGCAAAAATGAGACAAGTGAGTTGGAAGCAGAACCAAGAACCTGAGATGCTGAACACCAATGCGGTTAGCTTCTGGCCATCCAAAACAAACAGCAACTTACTGCAGGGCTGAACATGGACTGGAGCAACTCCAGTTTCAGTGTAACCCACCCATCCTGCTGGGCTTGGTCCTACAGTCCCTCTTTCCTAGGGGCTGCACAACTGCTTACCATGGGGCAACCAGATTCGGGGTCCCAGTGAGTGTAGCTGACTGAAGCCGCCACCCTTCCTCAGAAGAAGGCAGGGGTGACAGAGTGAGATGGGGAGCGGCACAGAACAGAGACAAGGAGGCTGGGTATGGGGCATAAATATTCATATAACACATCTCCCCAAGCTAAAGTTCAGCAGCCTCAGAGAGTCCATTTATTTAGCTATAGGATGTAGTGTTCAAAAGATGGGACATAAATAAAGGGAACATCTCAGCCCTGGTTCTGTTGGAAATGTAGGCACCACACAGAACAGTGGGCAAGAGTCCCAGCCAAAAGAGAGCAGGAAATTGTGCTCAGCATGTGTCAACCCAGTACAGGCTAACTCAGCCAGCACAGAAGGGACAAAACTGTTTAGATACCATGTATTGACCTCACTTCAGTGCTGATCCTGACCTCAAATCAGATTCAACAAAGTTTGGTCCTATCCACAAGAACAAGCCAAACTCTGCTTACACTGGGTTCCCCTGAACCACTTCAGGAACATACTTTAAACCAATTCACCAAAGCAAGACTTCCAATTCAGTAGAGATGGGGCCAAAGCCTTACTCTGCTGCTGGCATCTGAATGACAGCAATGGATTGACAGCAATGTCCCAAAGTGATGGGAACTAGCAACAAGAGTGGATTGTCTCTGGGCATTGGCTACATGTTGCTTCAGTCATTGAAGCTATAATCCCCTGCAAAAGGGCTTATTTTTGTATCAGGCATAAGCAAAGCAGGCAGAAGATTAACTGCAGTTTACTAGCCCAGATTGCACTGTGACTGAATGCCTGGGAGCTGCTAATAAAGCAGCATGTGCTCCCAGCCCTCAGTCACTGATGCATGGGCCAATCCGATCAAAATGTGACGTGGGAGGTGCAGTGTGATTTAATCAACCAAGTGAGAACCATCAGCACGTGACACTTACCAGGCCCCAGTCTCCAACGTGCCAACCAATTTCCTGAAGGCATGTCTCCCTGAGGCAGGCCTGGGTGTCCACTGGCTTAGACTCTTGCAGGCAAGCAACGTCTAAAGTCTGAGCACCCTGCTCTGATCTGCAGACGACACTCCGGGTTTGAATGCCTTCACCACATGTCATGGAGCACTGCAAGAAGGGTCCTGACTGTTACAGAGAATGCATGTAGGTACTGCCTAAGTTTAAGTTTCCTGGGATAGACTGCCCAGCTTCAAAGAGGCTTTCCGATTTGAAAATACATAGCACAAAAACCCGTCATAGAATCAGCCTAAAATACATACGTTATGGTGGTGTCATACCACGTTTTTTCACACACACCTTTTCCCCAAAAAACAGCTGCTGGAAATTGGAGTGAGCACTATATTCAAGAAGTATGGTAAGAGCAGGTTCTGGGTAAAGCCGAAAGTAAAATCTGCAGCCACCCACAGAGAGCAGAACAATGAGCAGGCTTTCCTTCCTAGCTGCTGCTACTCAGGTACTTACTACAGGGAAAGAGGGTTTTTAAAATTCATTCTGCCTTTGAAAAACAAGGTCATCTAGGATATTCCAGGTCATTTTATATTCAAGAAATTATGGTATGAATTAGGCTACATAAGAGGCAATGTAGTTTGATAGTAAAGATGTTGCCATAAAACTTGGGAGACCCATGCTCTACTTTAGTCTCTGCCAATAGCTTGCTGGGGTGATTTTTGAGCAAATCTTTTCAAGTCTCTGCCTCTGCTTCCTTCCCAGGGGTAATGATACAGACCTTTGTTAGGTGTTTTAAGAACTACAGATGAAAAATAATGTATAGGAGCTAAATGACACTGGCTCCCGATAGAAATCAGCAAAAGGTGAGGCCTGGAGGGGCAGGAAAGTGGTTAGATACTGGTGTTGCCAAGATCCCTAGCTTAGTGACATTGTCCCTCTCAACAGGACTCAGAGGAAGCCTTCACACTGTTGGGCTGAGATGCACCTTCTCTGCTGGAAGTTACATTTTATTTGTGCGTAAATGTTTTCAGTGTCACATCCCCCCTGTTACTTTAATGCCATGTTCCTCTGTTTCTTTCACAGTCATGCTGCCTGGCATCCAGACAATTTCTCCATTAGTGACTGGTGTATCTCTGAATAGGACTATTGCAGCCTGGCAGGTTCACTTTTTAAATCAGTGTAGATGAGCTCCTTGGATGGAGTTTCAGCCATTCATTTATCAGCGAGCAACCATTTTGCCCACAATTCCCTCCACCTTTTATCTCTAGGAAACCAGGATGCAGCTGCCTTTGGGAATGTCAGCTTTCTGGCTCCATTAATTGATTTGCACACAATACAATATGGCTTCTTCCACTGGTGCCCATGCACTCTCAGGGCTGCCACCCATTCTGGAACCTATGGCGTAAGTGCAGTGTTCATGTCTTTCCTGCATCTTCAAAGGCAAAGGCAGAGTCCTGAGCCTACTTCAGGTGTTGCAAAGTCATGGTATTATGCAGCACTGTCCAATGCCATTATGTTGCAGTATTTCAGACAACAAGGGTCATAGTAGTGTGATGCTGCTGTTTCCAGGATTTAATGTGACCCTGGAAGTACATTTTAGCCTTTGGAGGTGGATTAAAATCAGTAGAGACTAACCTTTTGGTCAGATGTGCCATAAATTAGCCCTGCAACCTCCCCAAGTGCCACTATGATTCCCTTCCTTTGCCCAATCTGCTGCTTTGCTATCTGTTTCCTGCCCTGTGCTCTCCGCCTGAGCTGCTGCTCTGCTTTCTGCTTCCTGACTATTTGCTGTTGTGCTGCCTGTCTCCTCCCTAATCTGCCACATGCTGCACACAGAAGCCGCCCATGCCACTTGTAGCACGTGTGCTGCAGGATAGCCACCCCTTGACTGAGTCATACGTAATAGTAGAGTTGCACCTATACATCGGTCTCATACTGGATTGGCACCAATATAAGAAAAATTGAGAGGATCAGCAATCAGCTTTTTTTGGCTGATGTGGCCAATAATGTGGCCAATACATGCCCTGTGCATGTGCTCAGCCACAGTGCAGCATGCAGGTGGCCAGGAGTGCAGCCCGGCAGCATGGAGAGCAGCTGGGTCTGATTGGTAAGTCTGTTGTGAGGGAAGGGGTGTGGAGGGGGCAGATCAAGGCCCCCGCGGTGAGGGAGGAGTGGGGCTGGGGCAGGCACTACACACCTGGGGTATGGGGGAGTGGCACAGCTCCCAACACTGCACACACCCCAGGAAGCCATGGTGGGGGGTGCCCCCAGAGTTGCATGCAGGGTGAGGGCGGGCTGCCACTGCAGGCTCAGGCCGGGGTGGTGCCAAGCTCTTCCTGGTAGGAGGATGGGGGGAGGGTTGGGCTGGGCTGCATTTGGGTCAGGCAACAGTGGTGCTGGGATGGGGGGGCTTGGGGGAGCTATGGTGAATTTTGGAGTGACTGCAG